TTGCTGACTATCTTGTAGTGATTTCTGAAAACCATTCATGACCTAATATTGTACTCAAGTAATTAGTTTCTTAACTGCTTCAACTACAGTATTTTTATTGTGCTTTCATGGATTCTCTGAAATTTTTCTTGAATCTTACCAAAACATAGATGTCTGAAAAGGTTGTTTAATATGTAATGCTATTTTTAAAAATATCAAATACAGGTTGTCATTTATCTTTTAAGAGATAGTATTGATTCATTCATCATGTTTTTTATTACATAGGAGCAGTAGTTATTCTTAGAATTAAAGGGTTTATAAGAGGCAATTTAGTAAGATTCACCTAAAATAGTTTTTTAAAAAAGTTATCTGGCAAAGTCTTGAGGGCTCTTAAATTTCATAAACCTAAATCAAAAAGCATGGGCTAGAAAAACTTAGCAAGGAAGTAATGGATGTGAATGAAAGCTGATGTAACATAGAAAAAGGTTTCAATGAAAGTGTGAATACTTGGAATCTAGAAAAATGGAACTCAACAGGTAGGAAGGGAAGGAAATTACATTTACTGATTATCTGTTATTTGCCTAGGTAGTTTTCTTCCTTTCCTTGTTGAACTCTCATTTGTAATGATTTATAGAGTCTTGGATTTTCTATGTAGACATAATATTGCCTGTGACAGAATTCAGCATTTAAAAAAATTCCTTTTCCTTATATTTTATTCTTGTTTTATTTTGTTGACTAAGATTTTCACTATAATCAAATACAAACTGTGATAGTTCTTGTTTCTCTCATTTTGAAGAGAATTGCTTCTGTAGTTTCACAGTTAAGAATATTTGCTATAGTTTTGGAAGATATCATTTATTAAGTTGAAGTTCTACTTTTCTCTTTCGGAAGGGCCTGAATTCTTCCCGGTTTTGGTATCAGGAATGAGTGTTGCATTTTATCGCTTTCTTTTTCTGTTTCTAATGAGTGACCATGCTTTTCTTTTTTATTAGTGGATAAATTGTAGTGATAAACTTTTAGATATTAATCTCTTCATATTTCCCAGAGAAATCCAGTTAATTATGAATTACCTTTTTTTCTTATTTTCTAATATTGCTGACTCACTTTGCTAAAATGTTATTTTTCTTATATGTGTTCCTGAATGAGCTTAGCCAGTGATTTTCCTTTTTTATACTAATCATTCAGTTCTGTTTTGACATGTTAAATTGGAGATGTCTGGCAAATACTTTATGGTAATGTCTTACACAGTGTTAATTACTTGAATCTGGAATAGCTACCTTGTGAAGGCTGACCATTTATACTTTGACGTAATAGTTGAGAGAATACAATGAGTCAGTATTAAGTAGAAAGAGTATTTTGAATAAGAGCAGAAGTGACCGAAAGGATGAAATACGACATTGTGGGGGTTCAGTGAAGGTGGTGAAGTCAGTGATCACAGGCTTCTTGTAAAGGCTGGTTTGAGGAAGGAGTTTCAAAGGAAGAATAAACTTAGTTATTAAGTTTTAGCTGCGGTGGATAGAGTGATGAGATGTAGTAAAAAGTAGAACAGTAGTAAGTACAGTAGTACTCTTAGAAAGGTGTAGTGGTGCAAGGATGGCAGAGGAACACAATGAAGTTGGAGGCAGTTCTGAGAGTTTTAATTTATCAGTTTTTAAAGAATGCCTGAGACTTCATGTTTGTAGGTAAAGACTAGTATTGAGTGACTATCAAAAGGAAATACTTTTAGTCATCTAAATATTTGCCAAATAAGATTTCATTGTAGATTTAATGGTCCTTATGTAATTCAGTATATTTGTCTTCTTTCTTATGTGTTCTATTTAAATATTCTAATTGGAGAAGAAAATCTATCACTCGATTGCTTATTTCTGTCAAATCAAAACTCAGATACTAACAAGAGCCTCAGGGAAGGAGACTACCTAGGATGAATAATGACAGTGGAGATGAGAGGATAGGAAATGGGAAGGAAATGGAGGAATTGAATTAACTGAATTTCCAACCCCTGTGTCATCTCATCCAGTCTTCTAACAATCTTATGAGATTAGCAGAGTATCTGTTTTTACAGATGAGAAAAGGAGACTCAGAGAGGTGACATATAGACAGTGTCACATAGCAAAAAATGTTCTACCACACAAGCTTTGCTGGCGGCATACTTAGAGACGTTTTTTCTGTGTCACTGTTCTATGCATGCTATAAGGATTATGTAGTGAAGGAGAACTGTGGTTACATTTAGGAAGTGTTATTTAAGCCTATTTGTTGCAGAACTTTTCTGGGCCTTTCAGCAATAACCTAAGAGTAACAAGTATCTTGGAACTGGACATGGAGAACTTGGCTCTCTTCTGGACACTCTTACATGGCATCGTGAGGACAGAAACTGCCCTTGAAGGCACTAGTTCTCCCTGTTTGGTGGTGTTCTTCCACAGTACTGGGCTCTCTTAATTTCCTGAATCCATGTGCTTGCTTGCTAGATGAGTATGTGGTTGGGAAAATTTTTAGCTGGAAGTGATAGGACATCTAGCTGACAGTAATTCCACAGAATCTGAATTCTGGAGACAGGCAGTTGAGGGCCCTGACAATAACACATCAATACCAAGCACTTTCTCTCTTTCTTATCTCCCTTGAACCATTTTGGCTATTTATCTTCACACTTACTACCTCTTTTTTTTTTTTTTTTTTGGTACCGGAGATCGAACTTGGGTCCTTGTGCTTGCGCAGCAGGCAGCGAAACCACTGAGCTAAATCCCCGGCCCCAGACTTGCTACCTCTTGATTGCAAGATGTTTGTTAAAGTTTTAAGCATTATGATTATATTTGAAGATAGGAATAGATAGTTGGATAGGGTTAGACTTAGCAGTCAAAAGCCCCTTTGTAAAACTGCCTTTTTCCATTTTTTAATCCACAAAGGAAAACATTTCCTAGTAGTCCCCTTGGTCTCATTGATTGGGACAGGGTTATGTGGCCACTCTCTAGCTGTAGGGTCTTCTGGGAAAGACTTGATTATCATAGATGGATTATGATCTGTTCTCTCAGTTGAGTATACTGTTTTTCTGTTGGTAAGGGTGAGAAAGTGATTGGAATGCTCTTGGTGTGTGTTTGTGTGTAGGTTACTGCTGTGTCTACCTTGCTTATCTTTTATAAAACTTCATTCAGCCTATATGTCAATCCCTCTTGGATTCACTCAGAGGCCAGCTTGGCATCTCCCACTCCTTTCACATCTGGTCTAGGCCCCATGGATTCTCCTTCCCTCTTTAATGGCCTTGCATGTTCCTGTCTAGACTTCTGTGACCTTCCTCTCCCTTTCCTCTCTGCTGAAGAGAATTCAGTTTTCTTTTCTTCTAAACATTTTTTTATTTTTTAATATTAAATTATAAATTGTTTTTTTCCCCTTTGATATACAAGGATACTGATTGGAAGACTCTTGGGTAGTGTTTGTGTCTACTTTGGTTATGTTGTATGAGACTTCACTCAACTCCTGTTTGTTGATGATGCCCCCAGCTCCCTGAGTCTCCTAATCTCTTGAACAGATCAGACTATATGTCATTTACTCTTTGATTCAGTGGCTTTATGTACATTCATATTGTACAAACATCACTTCTATCCCCCTCCAGAACTCTTTTAATCTTGGCGAAACCGAAACTCTGCACCTATTAAACAGTAACTCCTGTTAGCTTTACCCACAGTCCTTGGATACTGCTATTTTACTTTACAGCTCTAGTTTTGCCTCCTCTGAGTGCTTCATGTAAATGGAATCAAATAATATTTGCCTTTTAGTGACTGGCTTGGATTATAGGTTTTTGTGTGAACATGAGTCTTCATCTCACTGAGATAAATGGAGTTGCTGGATTCTATGATAGTTGCATTTTGGTTTTTAAAGAACCACTAAACATTTTCTAGAGAGGCAGTAAATACTTTATCCCTGCCCCCTGCACATATGAAATCTGAAATACTTCTGGTCCCAAGCATTTGGCAGAACATTCAACCAGTATAGATTCATAGATTTCATGCAGACCTACTAAATTGGCATGTGTATTTTTAACAAGGGTTTAAGAGCATTTTAAGTAGCTATTCCCATATGAGTTGGGAGCCATCACACTGTGAAATCTATCTTAGTTACTTTCTTGTTGCTGGGACAAAATACTTGACAATGACAAGTTAAAGGAGGAAGGGTTTATTTTAGCTCACAATTTGTAGAGCTTTCAGTCCATAGTCAGCTGGCTCCAAGGTAGGACAGTGTGACAGAGGTGCATGGAAGAGGAGAAACAGTCCATGGCATGGCAGACAGGAAGCAGCCAGCAGTGAGCCTTCCTTTGCCTTTTTATTCCATTCAGCCTATTGATTGTGCCACCCACCAACCATTATCCCCACCCAGGACTAGGCTAAACTGACCAGTGGGCCAATCCACTTATTACATAATCGTAATCCAGTATCTCACATTCATGATCCAGCTCCCTCTTAGTAACCCCACTTTTGAGTGCATAAGGCTTTGGAGGGACATCTAGATATAGGCCTTAACAATGCTACTTGCAAAATTTAAAAGCCTCTAAAGGCATATGCTGTACTCGTAAGAAATGAAAAATTTCCCATTCCCTGTGTCTCTTTTCCTTTGGCTCTATGTTTATATTTTTGTCCCTTCTCTGACACTTAATTTTACATTTTACTTTTTCTCCTTCCTTTAGTTTTGCACAGTTTGGTATTTATTCGCATGTATCTATCTGTAAGTTACTGATTGACATTTTCTCTTCTCACTTAGACCTGAAATTTGGAACTCTAGGTTTTCTTTTTCCTTACGTGGTGTTTACTCTTCATTGTTTAGGGTTCATATTCTTTCTCATACCAGGTCACATTTACCCTAATTCTTTGGGCAGATCTGAGTCTGTCTCACTGATAAATGTTAATGTTACATGGCAAGATTAGTGAACTGTTATCAGGGTTTAGTGGAGGAACTTTTAAGTTTTATGTTTTAAGGTTGATGTTCTTAGGCAGACTCACTCTGACTAGTTTGTTTTTCTTCTTCTTTACTCACAGGGAAGAAGAAGAACGTCTAAGAAATAAAATTCGAGCTGATCATGAAAAGGCTCTGGAAGAAGCAAAAGAAAAATTAAGACAGTCAAGAGAGGAAATTCGTGCAGAAATTCAGACAGAGAAAAATAAGGTAGCCCAAGAAATGAAGACAAAAGAGAACAAGCCACTGCCACCAGTTCCCATTCCAAACCTTGTAGGAATCAGTGGTGGAGACCCAGAAGATATTGAGATAAGAAAGAAAAGGGAAAAAATTAAAGAGGTAATAAGTTAAGATTTGTGATATAGACTACTTATAGATGTGTACTTGATTAGATATAAATATATATACATTCATACCATCTGTGGTGTCACACTTTGATCTTCTTTCTTCTTGGGTTATAGTTGTAGTTAAGTTTCCAGGTTGGCAATAAGGATTAGAGGCCTTGTGGCTTTCTTTCTTTGTTTTTTTGTTGTACCGAGGTGTCTCTTTCTTAATGTTGATGATAATACAATTATCACACAATTAAATTTTAAATATGAAGTTGTTTTGAACGTTCTGTCACTCAGCTGTGTCAGATATCTTTTGAAATTCGGCATTTTACAAATACTATAAATTTGTAAAATGAAGTACAATTCACTTATAATTTACTGTTGATAATTAAATATTCAGTTACAAGGGACTCTTCTGGATACTATGCTAGTTTTCTCGGAATAATAGTTCTGAAGCAGTGGTCTTTAATCTCTTTGCCCCCAGGGACCAGTTTCTTAGAAGATAGTTTTAGGACTGGAGATTTAGCTCAGTGGTTCCGCCGCCTGCCTTGCAAGCGCAAGGACCCGAGTTCAATCCCCAGTACCAAAGTAAAAAATAAAAAAACCCTAACATCTTGGAAGATAGTTTTTCCATGAACCTGATGGGGGAGTGGTTTTGGGATGACTCATATGTATTACATTTATTGTGCACTTTCAATGGTATTATATTTATTGTGTACTTTATTACTATTATTATTACATGTAATCTATAATGAAATAATTATACAACTCACTATGATGCAGAATCAGTGGGAGCTCTGCAACTAGATGTTCCCATCTGAGGGTGATGGGAGACAGTGACACCTGGAGTATGTTATGTCCAGTCTTCTCTGTGATCTCATTTTGGTTGCTATCACGATAGAAAGCCCTAGTGCACAAAGCTAGGACTTTGGAAATGGGAGCAGGCTTTTCAGTGCTTCTGTGGTAGTCTCAGGATATTCAGCCTTGACTTTAATCCAGAACATATGGTGATTTGAAGTTGTCTCAAACATACTTTTAAGGCAACTGCCAATTGTGTTGATCCTCTTTTAGCACAAAGTCAATTCACTTGGCTTATTTACACCTGGATTGTGGGTCCATTCCTCCCCAGTTTTGGGGGGGGGGTCTTTATGGTGGAGAAGTAATGCTTTAACTCTTTTGAAAAGTGAGATAGGTAATCATGCATCAGCTGGAAGAAAGAGAGCAATGGCTCATTCTTTTTCAAAATCTCTGCTAATGTTTAAAACATGTCAGAAATCTTAATGTTCACTCATTGCCCCAATAATTCCAGCTTGGTTTTGACTATATCCACTTTATCTGCTGACTTGAACACAGAGCAGGTTGAATATGTCACACAAGCAAGTTATGTATTCCATTCTGTGTCACTGAAATTTATCACTAGTGACATTTTCTAAAAGAAATCTCTGGAGTAGCTCTTGTGACTCAAAAACTGGCCAGTGATCTACCTTTAGAAAGCCATCTCATTTCTGTGTGTAAGGGGAGAGATGTGTACTGTGAGTCCATCTCTTCACAGAGCTGAACAAATACATGTGAGTTAAGGGCATGTACTTTAATGTGGTTGATAATTTTAGTCATATCCTAGAAAATGTCAAGTTCAGGTGACATTATTTTGGCTAGGCAGCATTTCTCTGGATAGCACAGTGCATAGACTCACATTCAGAAGCACCCTCTTTAACACTAGTAGTGAAACTAGAAAGTTGTCCAGTCACGGCAGCCACACTGTATGTGCCTATATAGTTTTCCTGATTTGTAATCTCAAAGACTTGAGTAATTCTATAGCTGTGGTATTGATTGGCAACAAAAGTGCATATAACATCATCATGCATATCCTCATAAATGTATCCCACATTAATTAAGGCAACGTAAATGTTGCCTTGTTGACAACATCAATACTTGTCAACCTGGATTTCATATCATGGTGACTGAATAGTCTGAGCTATTTCATCAGCTTATCTAGTTATGGTGCTAGTTGAAAGAACACATGCCATCTTTTGAACTGCAGCTTTTCCTAAAAGTTCACAATAAGTATCCTTCCCAGTGGGCACCATCAACTTTTATTACCAGTAATAAAGGGGTTCTTAGCTTTAGCAATGGGTTACCCACTAAAAATGATGCTCTTAGCGCAGATACATTTGACGAAGTCTTGATCTTAATAATTAACTTTTCTTCTATTCATTTTTTTTTAATTTTGAGAAACTTCCAAGGCTTGTCTTTTAATACTCCACATATTATATAAAGCAGGTGTGGAGAATATGAATCAGCTGTTGGAATAAACCTGTACTTTAAGTAGGAGTTTTGGTATTTCTTTTAAATGCCCCTTTCTTTTTGTTGAAAGTTTTAGTCTTCCACTGTTGCATCATTGGATCTTCCCCTCTTTCGAAGAAGCTCTCCAGTGATATTTACTGTTAACTCATTTGGCTGTAGTTAGCTAATGTGGTTAGAAAAACTGTGAGAGAAGTATGTAAGTTGGAAAGAAGGGTGGATAGGAGTGGTAAATAATGTGCACGCCAAGAGTGGGATAAAGAGTCAGATTTTGATTTAAAGCCTGCCACCAAATACAGTTGTACAATTGAAGCATGTCAACTTACTTGTCACTACAGCGTCCGTCACCAGATGTAGCTTAAATTGTCACTTGCTGTTCACTCATAGGGTTTTGATATGAGTCTGTAAGTAATTGATTATGGTCAAATCTCTCTGCTAATGTTAATCTGTATTTGTAGCCACTCCCAAGCCTAGCATTACTGGGTCAGGTCTGCTTTATATCATCAGGCATTAGATTCTTACAAGGAGTATGCCATCTAGATCCCTAGCATGCAGAATTCATTGTAGAGTTCATGTTCCCATGAGAATCTAATACCTCTGCTCAGGTGATAATGAGAGTGAAGGGGAGTGGCTCGCTGTGAATACAGATGAAGTGTAACTTGCTCACCTGCTGCTCATCTCTTTCTTTGCAGCCTGGTTCCTGACAGGTTATGGGCTGATACTGACCTATGGCCCCAGGGGTTAGGGACCCCTGTTATTTATAGCTAGCATTATAGTCTCCATCTCTTAAGGAATATATCATGATACTCCTCAACAATATTATAGATTAAGAGCATACATATTTTGAGTACTGTGTTGAACAGGAGTGGTGTTAGAGGATATCCTTGTTCCTGATTTTAGAGGGAAAGCTTATAGTTTTGTCTCATTTAATATGATGTTGGCATTAGGTGTGTCATGAATGGCTTTTATCAGATTGAGATAAGGTCCTGTATACCTATTTTCTTCAGTGTTGTAATCATGAAGTGATGTTGGATTTTGCCTTTTCTGCATCTGTTGAGATAATCATATGATTTTTGTTCTTGCATCTGTTTACATGATGTATTATATTTACATTAGCAAGAGCAACTAGATAAGAAAAAGAAATAAAAGCTGTCTGTGTAGAGTGGAAGAAGTCAAGTTATCATTGTTTGCAGATGACATGATCCTCTACACAGAAGATCCTCTAAAATCAAGACTGTTAGAATTAATAACCAAATTCAGTAATGTAGCAGGATACAAAATCAACACACAAAAATCAATAGCATTCCTGTACAGTGATAATGAACCCGCTGAGAAAGAAATCAGGGAAAAAAATGACATTCACAATAGCACCAAGAAAATTAAATACTTAAGAATTAATCTAAGGAAGCGAAAGACCTCTACAGTAAAAACTATAGTACTCTGTAAAAGGAAATTGAAGAGGACTTAAGAAAATGGAAAGATATCCTGTTCCTGGATAGGCAGAACCAGTACAGTCAAAATGGCCATACTTGCAAAATTGATATACAGATTTAATGGAGTCCCAGTCAAAATTCCAACAGCATTCTTCACAGAACTAGAGGAAACAATCCTAAAATTTATGTGGAATTGGAAGAGACCCAGAGTAGAAAAAGCAGTCCTAAGTAAAAAAGAACAAAACTAGAGGCATTACAATTCCAGACTTGAAGTTACATTGCAAAGCTTCTGTAATGACACAAAAACAGACATGAGGATCAGTGGATCAGAATAGAGGATGCAGAAACAACTCCAAATACATTCAACTATATGACTTTTGACAAACAGGCCGAAAACACACACTGGAGGATAGATAACCTCTTTTGTAAATGGTGTTGGGGAAAAAACTGGCTATCCACCTGCAGAAGATTGAATCTAGACCCAGTCTCTCACCATGTACCTAACTAAAATCAAAATGAGTCAAAGAACTAAATGTTAAACCAGAAACATTTAACCTCCTGAAGGACAAAATAGGTAAAACTCTTGGAGGCATAGGTGTAGGGAAGGACTTTCTGAACTCCAGTGGTACATGAAATAGTTTTGAGATTCAACAGATGGGATCTCATCAAATTAAACTTCAGCACAGCAAAAGAAACAACCAACAGAGTGAAAAGAAAACCTACAGAATGGGAAAAAGTTTTTGCCAGTGATTCCTCAGGCATAGGACTCATATCTGGAGTATATAAAGATCTCAAAATAATTAAACCCCCTAAAATAAAAGACCCAATCAAAAAATGGGCAAATGAGTAGGCACTTCACAGAAGAAGTACAAATGGCCAATAAATACATGAAGAAATGCTCAACATCCCTGGCTGTTAGAGAAATGCAAATTAAAACAACACTGAGATTCCATTTTAACCCAGAAAGAATGGCCATCATCAACAAATCAAATAATAACAAATGTTGCAGAGCCTGTGGGGAAAAGGAACCATTTTACACTCTTGGTGGGAATGTAAACTAGTACAACCACTATGAGAATTCCTCAAAAAAGAGATTCCTCAAAACCTAACTACAAATTCCAGTTGACTCAGCTATTCCCCTTCTAGGTCTCTTTCTGAAAGAGTTAATGACATCATAGTGCAGCTATATATGCATACCCACATTTATAGCAGCACAGTTCATAATAACTAAATCTTAGATCATATGTCCATGAACAGATGAGTTGATAAAGAAAATGTATTTAAACACAATAGAATGCTACTCTGTCATAAAGAAAGGTAAACTTGAGTCATTTGTAGAAAAATTGATGCACCTTGAGCCCATAATGTTAAATCAGATACACAAGCTTAAATATCGTATAGTTTCTCTCACATGAGAAACTCAGAGTAAAAATGGAGAGGAAAATAAAAGATACCAATGGGAAGTAGGTGATAGATCATTCTCAAAGGGGATGGGGGTCAAGAGATCAAGGGAGGGGGATGAAAAAAGTAAAAGGAAAGTGACCAGGAGATGGGTGGATGGGGGGAGAGGAGGAGGGAAAGGGGGTGAAAAAAAGGAATTAAGATGTGTTATGTACATGCACCAACTCCACACCAGGGAGGTACTAATAACCAAAAAAGAAAAAAAAATCCATACAAGTATGTCAGTATTTAATACATAGAAAACAACTATAATTTTTAAAAGAGCATATTTCTTTTTTTTTTTTTCTGGTACCAGGAATTGAACTCAGGACCTTACACTTGCAAGGCAGGCGCAGTACCAGTGAGCTAAATCCCTGGCCCCAGCTTATTTCTTCCAGAGAGTCTTTGTAGATTGAAAATGAGGAAAGATCTTAAAATTTCTTAAATTTTATTTAATGTTGGAAGTCTTTCAACTTGTTATTCTAGGAATTACTTACAAATAAGAACTAGAGGGAGGAAAATCTAGTGACTGTTTGACTTATACTTTGTTAATAAGAACTCTGATAATTTTGGGTGGAGTCTGCAGTTGTACTGCTTAGCAAGACAAAGATTTTGTCAGAATGTAGTAGCATCAACAATACTTCAGAAGGCATGTTTATCATAAAATAAAATAAAAATTTAATTTAGTCTAATTTTTATGCATATTCTAATAATGAATTGAAAAGACTTAGCAAACATATTAAGCTTCCCCTTATGAATTATTATAAAACCTTGCTTGTGATGGAGTCAAAACAAAGCTATACTCTGATTTCTACCTTATCTCTGAAGTCTGTATTTTATATACAGACTATTTCAGACATTTTTCTTTGGACATTGTTCGGGAAGACATTGATAGATTTTTTTCTAGATACTTAACTTGATTTTTATAGATGCCACTATAATTCTTTGAAATACTTTTTCATAAACCTGATAATTCAGATAGATAAACATGAGTTTAGCGATTTGCTAGAAGTACTCACAGAATTCAGCATATAGAAATATATCTGATTTTAGTTTGCTGAGCTTATAGCCTGTTACTTTACTAAGGTATTTTACTAATTCTTAGTGGCTCTTTTTAGATTTCTAGTGGGTTTTCCTTCTACATAATCATATTCTCTATGAATAGAGGTACTTTTCCTTTTCTCGTGTTTTCTTTCCTTGTGCTGACAAAGCTTTCTAGTTGATTGTTTGAAAGAAATTTTGAGAGGTTATATTTGTTCTTGACTTCAGTTAGCTATTAAGTATGATGTATTAATAGGTTTTTTTGGAGATGTCTTTATTAGAATGAGTATGTTTCTCTGTAGTTTTGATTTACTAAGAGTTTTTACAATGAATGAATGAATGAATGATAAATTTTGTCATGCTTTGTGTATATTTTTGATGAGGTAATAGTATGATTTCTTTCCCTTATCTGTTAATATGGTGAATTGCATTGATTGGTTTTTGAATGTTAAATTAGTCTTATGTTCCTAGGTTAAACTGTACTTGGTCATGTGTAGTATCTTTACATTTTGCTAATTTTTTAAAAAGGAATTTTTGTTTATATTCTTGAAATACATCAGCCTAGAATTTTCATTTGGGAATGTTTTGGATGAATACTATACTGTTAAATGAATAGAGTTTTGATACTCTACAGTATATTATTATATAACTCAGGTGATATAAAAGTAAATACTCCCCTATTGTTTAGCTTGGGACTCCTTGGATTGTAAGAAGCTCAGCACAAACTAAGTGATACAAAAATATTTTATTCACTTAGTGGCTCTAAACTAGGGCTGAATTTAAGTCTGTAGTTGTAATTGGTAATATGTATTCATCTCTGTTTCCTTTTATTATTTTTGTTTTATTGGGGGAGAGTTTGTCATTATCAACTCCAGGATTATGTGTTATGTAGTCCTTGAGATCACAAAATAAGAGAGTCCCCTCTTTCCAGTGTGTAATAACAGTTTGTGTAAAAAGACTTGTACCCAGTCACTTTGTCTAGGGCAGGGATTGACAACCTACAACCTGTGGGCCGAGTCCTGCCAGCTACCTGTTTTTTTAAAATAAAGTTTCATTGGAACATAACCATGTCCATTATCTAGGTTACTGTTGTGCTTCCAGAGTTAAATTTTGCTGATCTCTGATTTCTGGATTTTTCTAACCAGGCTGAATTAAGTGGTAGTAGAAGCCAGGCCCATTGATTGAAAGCTCTCATAATCGCAGTGAAAGAAAAGGAGCTGTTACCTAAAGGATTGACGGTTTTTAAAAGGAAAGAATGTCTGATAGACACCTTCCTCAAGAAAAAGACTTTATTACACCTAGTTTTTTTTTTTGATTAGGTAAACATATGTGTTTTTACACTAATACAAGTGTTAATTGGATAATACGCTACCATAAAGTAGGAGACCTAGTAGAATGGTAAGGATATAGTAATGGAACCTTTAATTCCATGAACTATAAGAATAATAGTCTGAATAATTTAAACTGCTGAATTATAATTTTCCCCTTAGATGATGAAACATGCCTGGGATAATTATAGAACATATGGATGGGGGCATAATGAACTCAAACCTATTGCAAGGAAAGGACACTCCACTAACATATTTGGTAAGTTTACTTTTTCTAATTACTACTTTCTACCTCCATGTTCTTAAAACATAATCTGACTTTTTAAATACTTTCTAAGATCAGAATTATTTCCCTCGAGCTATAATTTGAACATGCATTTATTGCAAATACATCAGGATTTGATTCTAGTTTCTTTAGAATATGTAGTTATGTGGTAGATATTATTGGTATGTAAATTTATTTTGAAGTTTTTTTTAAGTTTTTCTCCTTTAATATCACTAAAGGGTACCTATTTGTAGTGTATTTCTCCTTTAATATCACTAAATAGGTACCTATTTGTAGTGTATTTTTTTCCTTCAGCATAATACTATTTCTGGTCTACATTGTAGAGAAAGAGGGAATGGATGGGGAATTCTATCAGTGCTATATACATTAAAAAAAAAACAAGTTGACACACTTTTGATGTCATTTGGTGAATAGGGTGGGTCATGTGAATAGAGTGGGTTTGGTGATTCGGTAAATTGAGTGGTTATGTTGTACATTCATAGTTCCTTAGGAAAATTAACAGTGTAACAGTGTTCCAATGACTGGAAGTTTGAGGAAGACCTGTATTCATCTTGAGTTTGTCTTACTCCTTTTGAGGTCAGCCTTTTTATTTTTAATCTAACTTAGGTAAATTAACAAGTTTTACTAAACCTAATATTAAGTCTTGAGAATTGTCAAGCTGCTGTTCTTTTTGGTCTCCTCTCTTCCTCCACTTTAAATGCTTCTTCATGTGATAGGTATCTTTTAAATAATGACAGGGAAAGGCAGGAAAATTCTAATAGTGTAAGAAGGAACATATATCACATATACTAGTCAAATGCAGTGTTTTCTTTATTAGAATATACTATCACACTAATTCAAATAACAGTATTTTTTCTTGTGAGATGATGGAAGAATTTTTCTAGTGCTATGATTTCCTGTATAATTTGTTGTTTTTTGTTTTCTGTCAAAAAAGAAAATACCTTAAATTTTTTTTCTCCTGGATTTGAGAGATGTTATGTCAGAAGAGAGGAAAACTTTCCTTTTTGTAGGTAATCATTGACTACCAGAGATCCGATCCCCTGATATTTAATTGATCAGTTATCATTTAATGAAATAAAATACATTTGCTCTGCACAGGTTACAGATTGGAAAGTTCCCATTGCTTTGTGGATGGCACAAAATGAGATGTTGGTACACCAAAAGACATTATATTTAATGGTTAATTAATATCAGCTCCTACTTTTTAAAAATTAATTTTATTGGTATATTTTAGATATACATAATAATCACATTCATCATAGGGAATTTGTACCTGTACATAAATTGATTTGTATTTTCTCCTCTATCACTCTTCTTCAACCCCTCTTCCCCTCCTTATTTACAAAAGCTTTGTTTCCATTTTAAGTCCTACTTTCTATAATACCTTTAAAAATATATTAGGCTTCAGTAAACTTTGAGCCTTAATTTTAAAGGATTGCAGTTTAACCATATTGAAAATAAGAAGTGAATGTTGATTTTCTGCTTTTTCCAAATTGTATTTCTCAGAACATCTAATGTGTTATCACATATCAAATACATATTTGTCTTACTTTTGTAAATTATAAAGATAAAAAACATTAATTTTAGCTTGTGAAAAACACTTATTATGAGGAGAAAATTATAGTGAAATGTAGGAAATGCAAAGATGCAATTTTGGAATCTTCAGTAATCAAAATTAGGTGTTTATAAATTTTATTAACTTTTTTAGTGGTTACAGTTTTTCCCAGCCAAATAAGCTAAATGGAAATAGATCCTTTATTATATGTTTTGTCTTTTGTTTGTAGACATGTAGTTCATTAACAAATTAATTTTTTGTATTAAATTATTTTATTGGTACATTGTAGGTATACAACACAATTACATTTCTCATTGGGAATTGTGCCTTTACATAATGCATCTTGGTTCTTATTTTTTCCCCATTCCTAGCCCTCCCTTCACGCCCTCCACCCTTCCCT